CTTTCGACCGGACATCTTTTCGAGTTTCATCGCGTTCGCTTCCAACCGGAATATACCCGCGAGCATCGATAAGTTCCATAGACTGCGAAGAGACCTAATGTCCATGTTGTCGAGTAGACTTATCACATGAGGATTTTTCTGCAGATAGTATGGACTGGTGAACATGAGACCAATTGTAGAGGGACCGCTTCCAAGAATGCGTCGGGGGTGCTCTTCGGAGCTAGCTGAGAGCGGATCGAGAAGGACGGCTAGCGACGAGCCTGGGCCCAGAACTACGGAGCGGGAATATGTGGACAGCGCAATAAATCAGACATATACGCCGCTAGCGCAGCCCACAGGACCAAGGCCAAGCCGATTGACACAGCCCAGAACAAGCAAGTCGAGGGCTCTCGAACGACTCCTGGCCGAGCCAAATCGGGTACAGAGAAGTGGGGATCGAGGCGAAAACAGAAAGGCGGATCTTCCAAGTCAGAGCTCCCGAGGCGAAAAGACTGGCTCGTCTCTAACATCCGTACCTGTGTTGCGTTGTGTGACGGAAATCTAGTCGATATTCGATGACGCGCGCGAGACCCTCATGTGCCCATTTTCGGTGTGCAATAAACGTCTACCCCCCTGTCGTGTCGTTTTTCGCTACACAATGAGCATCAACTGCATCCAGTGATTGTTTACTTAACTCGCATGACAGCGTACTTTGATAGGCATTCAGAACAGCTGGCTTAGGCAAGTTGGCTGGTGTCAATGCGCTTGCAATTTCGTCTTAGGCGTCCACCAAAACGTATCCGCAGGTCAACATGTACAAGTGCATAATCGGTGTCCGCACATGTGCTCCAAATCGAGAGACAATTCTGGACGCAGCCTCTCCATCGGTAACTTATCGCAATGTGATCCATTTGTATCCATAGTTGGTTCGAGGCTGGTGGGCGCCAAGTCACCCTTCTCCGGGTGCTGTGTCGGAAATTAGTGCTCGCAAGAAATAAGCGAGCATCTCCACACAAATGAAGTAACCGCTCACCGTTATCATTACGGGAGCCTACACCGTGTTGGCCGCTCAGATGAAGTTCCTCCGTGGATAATTTTCCAAGTTGAGCGTTCAGATCCCCAGTCAGCACAACAATGTCCGCGCTTATCTGTGGCGAAGGAGCTCGTTCAATTGACGATAGAAGTTGTCTGTTATCGAATCATCGCTACAGTTTGTCGGTGCATAGGCAGCGATGACAAATAGACAACTGTTAGCCCCGCGCGACTTCGAAGCTCTGAACGATCCAGCCAATCGGACAGCACACATCCCGCTACTGATTGGAATCCAGTCATCCAGAGCAGCTTAAGCCCAGGGACTCAGGACGATTCCAACACCGGCTTGGCCGGTGCTCGAAGCTTCATCGTCACCGGATAGTCGCAATGAGAAAGTGTTGCTAGTGTCACCTGAAGGGGATCGCAAAGTGAGCACAGAGCTCGAGTCTTGCAGACAGGTCTCCGATAAGGAGCGGATATCGATCGAGAGAGTCTCTAATGTTCGTGCATGTGCTGCCTGTTGGCCGATCTATAGCAGCGTGCATACATTGAGCCATGCCAATCTGAAGGATGATCAAGGGCACCAAATGGAAGTCTGTTAACTGGTCTTGGCCGCTTGGTTGGACATGCGCTTGTCGACATGACAAAAATGACTCTCCGCGTTCACGTATGATTTGAAACTAGAAGGTAACAGCCTAGCATCAACTGCATCCAGTGAGTGCTTACTCAACTCGCATGACAGCGTACTTTGATAGGCATTCAGAACAGCTGGCTTAGGCAAGTTGGCTGGTGTCAATGCGCTTGCAATGTCGTCTTAGGCGTCCACCAAAACGGATCCGCAGTTCGGCATGTACAAGTGCATAATCGGTGTCCGCACATGTGCTCCAAATCGAGAGACAGTTCTGGACGCAGCCTCTCCATCGGTAACTTATCGCAATGTGATCGATTTGTTTCCAAAGCTGGTTCGAGGCTGGTGAGCGCCAAGTCACTATCCGACGGGTGCTGGGTCGGAAATTAGTGCTCGCAAGAAATAAGCGAGCATCTCCACACAAATGAAGTAACCGCTCACCGTTATCATTACGGGAGCCTACACCGTGTTGGCCGCTCAGATGAAGTTCCTCCGTGGATAATTTTCCAAGTTGAGCGTTCAGATCCCCAGTCAGCACAACAATGTCCGCGCTTATCTGTGGCGAAGGAGCTCGTTCAATTGACGATAGAAGTTGTCTGTTATCGAATCATCGCTACAGTTTGTCGGTGCGTAGGCAGCGATGACGAATAGACACCTGTTAGTCCCGCGCGACTTCGAAGCTCTGAACGATCCAGCCAATCGGACAGCACACATCCCGCTACTGATTGGAATCCAGTCATCCAGAGCAGCTTAAGCCAAGGGACTCAGGACGATTCCAACACCGGCTTGGCCGGTGCTCGAAGCTTCATCGTCACCGGATAGTCGCAATGAGAAATCGCTGCTAGTGTCACCTGAAGGGGATCGCAAAGTGAGCACAGAGCTCCAGTCTTGCAGACAGGTCTCCGATAAGGAGCGGATATCGATCGAGAGAGTCTCTAATGTTCGTGCATGTGCTGCCTGTTGGCCGATCTATAGCAGCGTGCATACATTAAGCCATGCCAATCTGAAGGATGATCAAGGGCACCAAATGGAAGTCTATTAACTGGTCTTGGCCGCTTGGTTGGACATGCGCTTGTCGACATGACAGGAATGACTCTCCGCGTTCACATATGATTTGAAACTAGAAGGTAACAGCCTAGCAAAGCAAGGTGAGGGAGGGCCAAGTATTGGGGGGGGGTGAAAACAAGGGGGACAAAATGGAAGCTGGAATGTGACGGTAAGAGAGAAAAAGCGAAGTGGGGGAATAAGACAACGGGAAGACTTGAGCAGTAGCATCCAAACCCCTATCCACCCTGCTTGGTGCAGCAGATAGGGCACCGCTGATTATCCTCTGCGGTAACCAGAGCGTCTAGAAATGGTTTGAGGAGAAATTCATTGTATTGCGTGGGCAGGATACTGTTAGGTTGACCAAGCCTGGACAGGAGAACGATTAGGGTTCTCAACCAAAGCCTTTGGTTCAAAAACCTGACCGCAAGGCAGCGGGTTTGGCGTTGGGCTACAAAGAGTCCGTTTTAAGGAATAAGGAGCCACCTCATTCCAACGCCCAACCTGAAAGCCCAGGAGGCTGATTTTGTCTGGCCTCTAACGATTGACCAATCTGGTATGAGTGCCTCTGGAGGTGCAAAAGCGCCACCCAGCATAGCTCAAAGGATCGCTAGGACACACAGTAAGATCCAGCCTCATTGCCATGGATGTATACTATCATACCCAATCGAATGCGTACCTGAACAGGAGGTTCTGGAAGTACGATCAATCAGTAAATTCGTATACACACCTTTACAGGTTGTTTCTTGCAGTATACCATGTATGAAAGCTGCATTGTGTTTTGCTAGCTGATTAGTTTGTTCCACAAATTTTAACCTTTCATCTTAATCAGGCTGGTACTAGCGTAACCGCTGGTTATATGTGACGTTACGACATTGCATTGGGAGGTGCATGCGTCCTGTATTGTCACAAAAATAGTGAGGCCTGTGGAAAACGCTTGCTGGATATTCTCCATTTTAGGAGAGACTGTGCATCAGAATATCCAAGCGTTGTTGCGGCGTATTTGTGCACCTTGGAAAGGAAGGAGTCTAAACAAAAATAGTTGACGGATTGTGCATGCTTCTGCATAATGAGATTCAATACTAGCTAGCTAGTCACTATGTTACCACTGTTTTTTGATAATGACAGTCAGCTTTCGTCACTTATAGCCCAGTACTAGACCTCATCATTTTCACTGATGATAGTCAGGAGTTAGAACCGGGCAACATTCGTTATAGGCAGACCATACTACTAGGAAGATCAAGTTATCCACTACCTTTACTGGTGGGTGTTAGTTGCCCAGCTGAAGGTGGTTGTTTCGTATTACTTTAACATAATTGCTGATCATTCAGCTGAGCCATCTCTCAAAATCAGTTGTCTTCCCTCAAGTTGGACATTTTCAATAACGATTGGGCCTTACCACTAGCTCTCAGCACTTCGTTACCTAGACTGTGCTATTGTAGAACATCTTTGTAGTGTGCTGAACTGGATTTCTGTACCACATGGAAGCGATAAATATGAGTCTACGCTTATGTCCTTCTCACTGAATACGTCGACTATGGCTGCTCTCCACGTTGCATGTCTGCTTACCTTTAATTCCTATTTTACACTATAGTTTTGTACTAGCACATTTAAATCGATAGTTGATAGGACTGATAATTCACATTTCTTCTGATTTTATGGCGTTCCCTCGAATTATCACAAGGCATTTTTCAATCACCTGGTTTTTTATTCGAAATAAATTATTATTCGTCATCCTAGGTCTATTAGGTGTTAGGGGTTTAACCGGTTCTGGGTCATCTGCTACCAGCAAATGTCAATACTAATGTCGCACAGTAAAATCTAATCAGTCGATGGGGATGTGTTTTCAAAGTACTTACGTTTACTGCGAGTGCAAAAAGATGTGTCTCACTACCCAGTCGATTCACTTCTTGTAGTATGCAACGCAACCGGTATCCATACGACTGTATTGAAACGACTTTTGTCCCCGGCTTCTTTTCGCCACTGGATGGAGCTTGCTAAGTTGCCCGAAGCTGTAATGTATTTGTTGGATGTAGCAACACTCCACCGATTATTTTCTACTTATTTTCCCCCGTAACGTGGTGATAGCAGAAATGGGGTTCGAATCAAGGGCGTAAAGTCAGCCAACTGAAAACTTTACTCATACCACAAAATAAATCGCGTTCCAATTCGGGCATTGCTTATCGAGATCGATTCACGTAACGAGTGCGGCAAAACCGACCCTACAATGGTGCCGTTCATTTATCACGCTGCATACAAATGAGTTTTGCTCTAATTTTTCAACTCGTTAGTTATATTATCTTCTTGTGCATTTCAGAAAGGACAGTTAGTCACTGGTCATTGTGGTGGTTACTGTTCCGGGTGTTGGCCACGACCGGATCTGATCCTGGACGTTGTGGATGACATGTCAAGATAGATGTTATTTGCCGCAGTGCACATCCTCCGCCAGAGCGTCTACTCTCCGCCTGATACGAAAAGGAAATAATGTACCCATACAGTAGATGATGGGAAAATCCTTGCAACCCTGAAGCTGACAATGTGTCAACGTGACAAATAATACCCACTCACTGTTCCTCCAATCCCATCCAGCTTCCAACAATACAGCCAATCAGGAGGATACAGGCTCTATGGCGTTGCTACAATCATTACCTAGAGCCCTACTTATTGTATTAAAAAGAACATGAAAGCGAGGTTGATGAATTCCGGCCCCCCATCTTTAGTTTGTTACTACCTAGGATAAGTGAGATAGATGTGAATGAAAACCAAAACAATGTACTTCTATTTCTGATTTAGTAATATTCTATTTAGCCGGCTGGGAATACTGGCGTTTCTTGCCTTACACTCCACTCCAAACTGTTATCTACCGGAAACTTTCAGGTAAACAAGAGACGAAAAACCCACCACTGGATTCATGTTTGGTTTATCATGCGAAGTATGCAAGTGAACATTTTTTACCTCTGAGCGTGTACTATAAATTTTCAATTGTCGGTCCAAATCCTTTCTCTTCCACACGATGCAGCTGCTGTTCTTCCAATCTACGAATTCATCCTGCCCCGAGACAATCTGTGTTCTGGTGTAAATTTTATGAGACAATTTTCTAGGAAATCTATCTAGGTATTGCTTTTTGTAGTACGTGGTCGTTCCCTTACAACGCACTTGAGCTGGTGGAAAGTCTGATGACAGTTTGGTGAAAACCTCATATTGACGCCATGGAACTCCGATCGCCAGTTCAACAGTGCAACTAGACCTATGTTGAAACGTCTTCCCTAGTTTTACTCTTTTCTCCTTCCAGTTTTGAAAAAGAACCATTGTTTCGGATGCGCCAATATTTCCCGTTCAGTTCCCACACATTCCAATTTCAATTGTACTTTGTAATATAGGACATATTAATCCTATCCAATGCCGAATTGCGCTTCTCATTGCAGTGACAGAATTCGTTAAAGCAACTCAAACAACATACATGAGAAGTAGCTACTAATAAACGTTATCCCTATTGTACACTTTTTTCTAGGAAAGATCCCCACCCCTTTCGCAAAAGAGCTTGAACCATTCTACTGTGCTTTCCAGTTGTATATGCTCTTCTGTTCTCCCTTACTTCGGATAATTTGTCGACCATTTGTAACATCGATTTTGAGTTCGCGAGTGAAACCCCCGCTGTGCTTGATGCTAAAATTTATCTTTACTGATATTGTATTATTATTAATTATGTATCATAAATAGGAAAAATATAAATGGATTATGTTTATATACGTACGCCCAGTTGTAACTAGGTTTGGCAGAAGGTGGTTGCGGATTGGAGAAGCGGTCGTCCTAATACCATCAGTTTCTACCAAACCAAGTATTTTTACTCCAGTCTTACTTGTCTGTCCATAACTCTTTAGGAATTATTCAGAACTTTGGATGCGATCGGTTGATTAGCTGCACAGATTGAGTATAGCTTTATCCAAAAATTAAGCACTAATGTCTTTCTTTTTAACAGGCACTTATCTAAACCTTCATATCTCGGTTAATATGGCCGGTAGCAGTGACGTTCTTGTTACACACTACTTTACGCACACTTCAACTCGAATGATCCACAAGTTGAGTACTTACCCGAAGCTTCGGCGGCACCTTCAATAAACTTAAAGTGATACATGGAAGAATTCCGTGGTGTCTACGTATGCATGAGACCCGGATTCTAGAGCCATCTAATCTTTTGTCGGCCGGTCAAAAAGATTGCACTCCTTCGCTGTAATCCGGAGGTCCCTATCTGGAATTATCCTAAGCGCGGGCGACCTTGTGGTATACCCATCTTCGTACGACTGGTGGTGGTCGCGTAGCAGCGAAGCGTCGGGAGGCTGTACCAGCGTACCACTTATGCTTTTCCTTTTTTGTGAAAGGTAGGTCAATGAAATAATACTAAATTAACATGAATAACAGAATTTTAGACGTAATTTTTTAAAGGTCTTCATCCCAACCGTTCACAAGCTACATAGAACAGCCTAGTCCGGAAAAGCACCAGACGCGTTTCGCTCTATTGGGGCTCGTTAGTGTTGCGCATTTCCTCGGTTTCCTACTGGGGATCGAACCCAAGGTTGCTAGGGGCAGGTGCTAACTAACCAGCAGGTTAAGCCACTGGGCCATGGGGGACATTGGCTGAGCAACATAATTTGCAAGCTAACTGAGATATAGCACCACCTATCTCACTGTCACTTCCGGTGGCTAGGCTGCGAGTTGATGACGTCCTCTAGCTAGACCCTATATCCATGGCATTTAAAACTAGGAGAGATTATTTATTTTATATTATCCGTGAGTAGCGGGATTCTAGCTGTGATTTAAATATTAACGACTCTTCAAGGTCAGATCAGTGTAATGTACCCACAACCTCGCATAACTGAAAGGTCACTCCGTTCCTCCAGGGCTTTTTGACCAGCGGCGCCTGTCAGGAGACAAGCCTAATATCCGCCTCCTGTGCAATGAGCAATAAACAATTTCTATGGGTTAAGAAATGCTGCTTTATAAGTCCCTTTGGGTTGTTTGATGGGGATATGAAAATATTAATAATAATAATAATAGTAATAATAAAACAGTTAGTACTATAGGCATAAGAAGATGGACTTACCGTTTGTTCCGCTGTAGTCCTGCAATCTGCGTAAATTGACAGCAACCACAGTTAACATCAAATATATCCAAGGTACACTCCAGGAGTAGGATGGAGGTGTAGTGCTAAGTAACCAATTAAATGGATGAGCGTGTCGTCCAACCGTCTCTTAATCATTGTTAGTGTCGGTGCGGATACGACAGATTTAGGGAGAGCATTGCATGGGTGACATACACGAATGGAAAAGAAATGTCTACAGCACTCCAGATGGCTATACTGTTCTGCGCGCCTCAATAAGTGAACCCTCAGATTTGTATTACTGCTGAGTTGCAGTAAGGAGCGGCACACATGACGTGAGTTGTGCAGGATCAAGTATGCCATTATTAGGTCGATTCGTAAGCTGCGATATCGTTCAATGAATACCCCCGATAGTTTCAATCTATGCTCTTATAAAAGATTGCGCATTTCAATTGCGTACTTACATACCAAAATTTCAGGCTGCTCTAGTACATTACGGTACATTACGGTTTTGGCCATAGAAGCTAGGCTTGAATTGGGTATTCGACTTGGAGACGAACATATGACCCGAGCATTTGTCGAATAATAACAATGTCTATTTGTCCCAACGCCAATCACAGCAGCCGACCTGTTGGTTTCCAGATTTCGAGACCATTTCGGTTTGCCTGGATTGACCCAAGTCCTCTCCAACCAGAACACCCAGATCAAGTTTGATAGAAGATTGTTGCAGTAGATCGATTCTGAGTAAATATGAGTAGTTTTCCTGAAGACGGATGGAAAATACCTTGCATTTTCTCACGTTGAATTGTAGTAAATTTTGGATGGACCACAGAGGTAGCGTGTCTAGGTCACTCTGAAACGGATGCTGGTCGGCATTCATTTGAATCCTGCACCAAATTTTGCTATCGTCAGCAAACAGTAGAAAGTTTGAAGGGAATGCCTGTGCGAGTTTATTAATAAACAAAACAATCATGAACTTAAAATTAAGCCTCACGACACACTACACTCGACTTGCATGGGTCCTATAAAGAGCTCAAAACTCTGACCACTAAATTTCTTTGAAGGAAAGTTGACTATCCAGCTTAGAAGAGAATTGCTGCTCCCGCAATACTGGAGCTTGGAAATTAGTATCCAATGGTCTAGACAATAGAATGCCATCGAAAAATCCAGGTATATCATATCTACATCTTCTCTAGCGTCAGCTGACTCGGGCCAATTATTGCGCGCGATTGGTAATTTCGTTCCACAAGTTCGCTGGCAACGGAAGCCGTGCAATTCAGGAGTAATGGTGTAACGGTGTTTCAGATCAAACACCAGCGTATAGACAGCAATGGATTCCATGAACTTTGACAGTATAGGGAGAAGGGATACTCGGCGGTAGTTTGTGAGCTTAGTTTGGCTTTCGCCGCTGTGAAACGGTTATTATTTCATGTTCCACATGTCGGCAACCTGGTTCTGGTCTAAGCAGCGCAAAAAGAACTGAGCCAAGGTTTCTAAAAGTAGTCTTCTCGCCGCTCCCAGTGCTTCTGGGTGAGTGATATCCACACCGTGAGAGCTGTGTTTGTGCAGAGACGTCAGCTTTTGCAATATAGCTTCAGCGGTGAAAAAGCTGTGGGTGAGTCCTAGCGTGTCATAATCATGTCCTGTCATAATCAGGTCGCCTCGTAGCCTGCGATAGCTGCCACTGAACAAATCTAGTCGTTGCAGCCTCTCCTGGTGGGAACGATTGCGCATTCCAATGACGTTCTTAGATGCCCGGCGTTGTGGCTGCTCCAGTGCATTAAGATCGTGTTTCAGCCATGGATGCCAGGCTTGAATTGCATATTCGACATGGGGGCGAACATTCGCACTGAGCATTTGTCGAAATATGGAGCTGTTTATTTGTCCAAACGCCCGCCTCAACAGCCCGACGTGTTGATACCCGGTCTTCGAGGCCTTTTCGGATTGCCTGGAGAAACCCAAGTCATCGTGAACCAGGACACCCAAGTCACGTTCGAGAGTTGATTGTTGCAGTACATCCGTTCCGAGTCGGTATGAGTAGCTGCTCTGATGTCGGATAGAAAGCACCTTGCATTTACTGATGTTGAAATGCAATAAGTTTTGGGTCGACCATTGATACACCGTATCTAGGTCAGTCTGAAGCAGATGATGGTTGGCGTTCGCCTGGATCCTGCGCCAGATCTTGATATCATCGGCAAACATTAGGAAGCTTGAAGCGATTCCCTGTGCAAGGTCATTAATAAACACCAAAAACAAACGTGGACTTAGAACTGAGCCTTGAGGCACACCACACTCAACTTGTATGAGTTCCGATAAAGAGCTCCGAACTCTGACCACTAATTGCCGTTGAGGTAGAAATTTGGCGATCCAGCTTAAAAGAGGGTCGCCGATCCCGTAATGCTGCAGCTTGGATAGTAGTATCCGATAGTCTAGGCGATCGAAAGCCTTGGAAAAATCCAGGTAGATCACATCAACACCTTCTCCAGCGTCGGCTGCCTCGGTCCAACTACTGCGTGCAATTAGTAAATTCGTTGCACATGACGCTATCGACGGAAACCGTGCTGTTCAGGAGTGATGAGGTTGCAGTTTTCCAGATAGCACACCAGTGCATCGGCAACTATGGATTCCATGAATTTGGAGAGTATAGGAAGAAGGGTTACTGGGCGGTAGTTGGGGGGATCAGTTCTGCTTCCACCTTTGTGAATCGGGCTTATTATTCCAAGCTTCCACATGGCGGGAACTTGGTTGTGGTCTAAGGAGCACTGGAAAAACTGAGCTAAAGGTTCTGCCAGTTGGTTTGCTGCTGCTCCCAATGCCTCTGGACGAATGGTGTCAACAACCGGCGAGCTGTGTTTGCGTAGAGAAGTCAACTTTTGCAATACAGGCTCTGCGGTAAAATTGATGTGGGTTAGTCCTGGTGAGCAGAATACAAAGCTTGGTAGATCGCTTGTTGGCAAGATTCTTTGAAACGTGGGAGCGTTTTGCATCTGCAGCGCGTTTGCAGCTTCCATAGACGTGCTTGTTGGGCCATCAGCCGTCTTGAGTAGAGGAAATCCTTACCTCACCTTTCGTAGGCCAGTAAAATGCTTGTACAGCAGTT